TTTCTTATTCGTTTCTTATTCGTTTCGTTCGTTGGAGCAAAGTGACATTAGAGGAGAAAAATATTTTTTCCCCCTCAAATGTCACTTTTGATGCAAACGAACGAAACGAATAAGAAACGAATAAGAACAGAAAACGAAACGAACGTTCGTACGAACGCTACCGCATTTCGTCCGAATCCGAATTCCGAATCCGAATTGACTTTCACACCCGAATCCTGAAAAACGAAATAACACAAATCCGAATTTAAAACGAAACGAAACGAATTTTTTGGCAGTGCACATGTCTAATAATATGTAACGTCTAGGCATAATTTCAGCCTGCAAAGCTAAGGTGAAAGAGAAGATAAAAAACATGTAAAAAGCACAGTATCCCACAGAAACCTGATCAAATGTTACCTTTTGTTTAGAGCAGAATAATGCTAATACATTTCTAATTGGTTCATGTGGGTTACTGTATATTGTGCATATGTGATCTTTTCTGAAGCCTTTCACTCTGACATTTTTGTTGTACAGAGTAAATGAACTACAAAAGTGCAATTATCTATCAACCGCAGTGGCAACAACCCAGCTTAGAGAAGGGGTACAATGGAAAATGGTCAATATCAGCAGAAAGACAAAAACACCATAGATTAAAATATTTATTACAGTTGTTACTGCATTTAGGGGTGCACCATAGTAAAAATGGAGCTCAGGCTGATACTTTATGGAAGAAACATTGTAATAATCTCTGTCTAGAACAGCATTTCTTAACCTTTTTTCAATTACAGCACCCATTAAAAGTATGCAAAATCTAATCCAGTCTAATGGATTTTAAAGGGGACCCCATGCAAAAACAGAAACAAAACTGAGGTTTCCCACTTCACATTGAAAAATGGCATCAAAGAACCCCTTTATGTCAGGAGCCTCCTTTACTTTAGGAGCCCCCTCCGTTTACATGAAAGTCCTCCCTCTCATACTAGGAGCCCACCTTCACCTCAGGGCCCACTCCTTTTACATCAGAGTAACCCCTCCTTTCACATCAGTAAGATTTTGAGGCACCCTTGTTGAGAAAGGCTCTTATAGAGCATGAGCATTTCCTGTTTGATTCTTGCATGATTACATTATATTCTATTTATTCACTAAAGTAGCAGCAATGATGATGTGCAACATGTAGTAAAACATTACAGTTGATTAGCTTTTAAAGATGTGTCCTCTTTGATTGTTACAGATTACTTTGATGGTATTAATCTGTTTATCAGCTCATTAAGCAATCCTGGATATTAGGAGATCTCAGGACAAATATCTGTCTTTCAGAAATGTATATATCTAAAGTGGAGATAACCCCTAAAAGTCACTGATTGTTATTTGCAGGGAGATTCTGGAGGGCCACTCGTCTGTCAAAATGGAAGAGAGCGGTGGGAAGTCCATGGGATAGTCAGTTTTGGACCCATTGGTTGCACGGTGGAGAACAAACCCAGCGTTTTCACTAGGACTTCAACCTATATTCCTTGGATTGAGACCACAAGAATCCGTGACTTCTTCCTACACTAAAGGCAGAAGCAGGAGCTCAAATGTGGCAGCTGTTCAAATCTTGGATTGTAAAAGGGATTTATGCTTATTCTTCATAGCAGGGATTTAGTCTTATCACATGGCACAGCTTGTGCATACAACATCTTCAGCATTGTTAGATTAGTGTGCAATCCAGTAGATACTTGTTTCTGAAGTCAGCACAGACAGAAATGGGCAGTTGGCACAAAGGTGAAATTAATGCAGTATCTGTGTTCCACACAGGTCATGTATCTACAGTATATAGCTACTTACAACTGTAGCCTTCTTTGTCCAATAATACTAAGGTGATCATGCACTGTATATGCTAAAGTGACTTCAATCTGTGTATATCATATACTTACACCTGTTTAATGCATCCTCCATATCAGATACAGTAATCTTTTTGTAGTGTTCTATATTCACCTGTAAATGTTGTTTTCAGAGGCTGTCACGTTGGCATTCACTTAAATCTTCAACTTTGCGTTATTTATATAAAGTGCAAAGATGATGCCACAGCTTTATGTCAGTGGACAACATAGGAATTGAAGGCTAATTCTTCCAGAAAGAGAAACAAAATTAATATACATTTTTAAACTCTGTATTCCCTTAAATGGGACAGTGGCCACAATTCATAAGGCTTTAATAGCACTTAAAGTGACATTAAAGTAAAAAAAAAAAATCCCCCCCCCACCATGTTAATGTTAGCACTTGCCTTAAATGATGTCTCTTATTCCGATCTTCTTCTTCTTTCCTGATGTTTTCATCTGTCCCTCCAGCGCTGCGGCGGCTCTCCGATCCAGCGCTGACTGCTCTGTCCCTCTGATCCAGCGGTGTCTGCATGCAAGTGCACACGCCATAGACTTAGCTTGCGTCTCTGCTCATCTCTCAGCCGAGAATCCCAACTGCGCATGCGCCCGCCCCGAGATCCTTTGCGGCCGCACGAGCAGTTCCTGATTCTCGGCGCAGGTGCGCGCAGCCATAACGAGGTAAGTTTAAACCTCTGTTAAAGCGGGGTTTTAAAAAAAATACTTTTTGCCTATATCTAGCAGTAGATATAGGCAACAAAAACGGAGGGTTTAGAACCCCTTTAAGTGCTAACATGTAAAGTGGCTTTTAAATTAGTAACTAAGGTTATATCACTTGAGACATCAGTTCACATGACATAGGTGCTAACACTGCTTGATGAATCTGGCCCTTGATTTCCATTCTTACTAGCAACAGTTGGGCTTCACAGTTGAAGTTGGCCTTCACCAAATTAAGCCCTTTAGCTAAAACTTTTTTTTTTAATTGGATAGTATTGGATAAAATGGGGGGATAGGTTTTCTGTGTCTCCATTTGGGAAATACTCCGTCACTTCTTTTCTATTTGATGACCGATCAGGAAGCGAGGCAAAATGTCTTCACTTTCCGATGACGGGTGTCAAAAAGAAGAAGAAGTGAAGGGAAATCCCATCAACAGGCTCATTTTCTAGTACAATAAGAGTTATAATGGAAAATTCCATTACCAGGATACTTACTGGACAAATGCAATGGGACACATTCAGCATTTAACGCATTTCTAATCCTTCTCTGCCCTATCTAACACTAAACTATTAATACAAATGTAGTTTCTGTATCACTCAGATTACACTTTAACATAATGTGAAATAGTAGTTTAAATTAACCTAATACTCATATAATGCAATTACACTATAACCTGGATATGTAATGTGACATAATATGTGTAAAATAAGATATAATTAAATGCTTGGTGCTTATAGCCATTTACAGGGGCATATGTAGGGCTGCAACAACTAATCGACATAATCGATTATAATCTATGATTAAAAAAGTTGTCAACTTTTTCAATCATCGATTAATCGGCTTCTGATTGGTTGGCCCTGTTTACGGCCCCACACACACTGCACGTCGCACCTCCTCCCCACCTCACTTTCACCGCACCGCCCACATCCACGATCGGCACAGGGATGTGGGGAGAAGTAGTAAGGAGGAGCAGGTGTGGGGGGATGACAGCCGCCGACAGACAGGCCTGATCTCAGAACCAATTGCTGGAAGACTGCTCAGGTAAGCCTGCACTTTCCCACACATGACGCTCTATAATGTATTGCTGGGATTTGTATTCCACTATAGCTGATGGTACATTGTGCTGTATATTATACAGAGGAATACAAATCCCAGCAATACATTATACACTGTATGTATAGTGTACTATTGCTGGGATTTGTTGTACTCCTCTATAGCTGGTGGTATTCTGCATTGCGCTGTATAGAGGACTACAAATCCCAGCAATAATGCATTATACAGCGCAATGCAGAATACCACCAGCTATAGAGGAGTACAACAAATACCAGAAATACATTATACAGTGGTGCAATGCCGAATACCACTAGCTGATATTGGGCATTGTGCTGTATAATGTACTATTGCTGGGTATTGTAGTCCTCTATAGCCGGTGCCATTCTGCATTCATTGCTGTATAATTTTACACTTTTCATTTCACTATATTGCACACCACACGTTTTTGTTTTCTTTTTTACTTCCACCGCTCCAAGCTTGCTCCTGTGATGGGCTACAATCTCAATACAAACAAGTAGTCCATCACTGGAGCCATTTATTTGATTTGATTTTTTATCAGATTAATCGAACTTAATAATCGTCTAACTAATTGATTTTGAAAATAAACGTTAGCTGCAGCTCTAGGCATATGTTTATAACACAACTGGTCTATTAAATTCAAAATATTAACAGTCACCTATAAAGCCATCCACAACTCTGCCCCCGGATATATCTCAGACCTTGTCTCAAAGTATCACCCTAACCGTCCCCTCTGCTCATCCATTGACCTCCTGCTTTCCAGCTCCCTTGTCCACTCCTTCCATACTCGCCTCCAGGACTTCTCTAGAGTCTCACCCATCCTCTGGAACTCTTTATCCCAACCTGTCCGTCTATCTCCCACCTTGACTGCCTTTAGGCGTTCCCTAAAGACTCATCTCTTCAGGGAAGCCTATCCCACCGCAACCTAACCACTGAACCTTCACATTCTCACATAATTCATTCCCACAGCTACCACAGCTACCTCATGTATCATTTCCCCCTCCTCTTTTAGATTGTAAGCCCTCAGGGGCAGGGCCCTCCTTACCATCTTGTCTTGAATTGTATTGTAACTGTAATGTCTTCCTTATATTGTAAAGCGCTGCGCAAACTGTTGGCGCTATATAAATACTATGTAATAATATTGAGGGGTGGAATTTGATACAAGATTTTCACTCTCATCCATGGAAGCATCATTCGTGCCACAAATTACAGTCCAAAACCACTGCATTTAATTTTACTAAGTAATAGATTACTACAGTTATTCGCGTTACATCAGCTTAAGCCTGTTTCACATTGTCCCTGACACTTTTTGCATGTGGTTGAATTGCACTTGTATTTCACCTTGAAACCTAGAAAAAGGCTGACTTGTCACTTTTAGCCACCTGGATAAAGGCACATGATATAAATACATATACCGGTGCTATGCATCACCTCCTACTTACATGTATCTGACTGTATACTACTGTGTGTGCACTGTTTGTTTTACCTAAAACCTATTAAGTTTGCTGTTTATTCAGACTAGTATATTTTTCTATAACACCATAGGGTAAATTTAAAACAATTCAATATCTTAACAGAAGAAATTCAAAGTGGGCACACAATGTGACTGAGCTGTCCAAGAACAAAATGTTACTTTTTAAGACTGGGTTTTAGTCGTTGAGTATCTGACTTAATAAAATGATACATGCAACTTTCAGAACTATGTGTGCTTATTATCCTATTAATGAAGAGCCTCATCCATCTATGTATAGTTTTACAACAAACAGGTGGAGGGAGACATTATGGTTGAGAACCCCATGTCTCAGGTGAAAGTGTGCCTCCCAACTTTCCGAGATGAAAAAGAGGGACACCTTCCAGCACAATGTATTTAGATAATGGACACAACCCTGCAACACCCCCCAGTTATACAGACCATTAAGAATGTATGATTGGATAAACCCAGAATTTATTTTTACCATTACTTTTCCTTTATACTGACTTTTTCTAAAAAGCAAACAAAATAATTAAGAGATAGGATGAAGGTTTAGTGCACAAAAATACTTCTGGTAGTTAAAGTGACACTAAACTCCTGAGTTTAGTATCAATTTAAATAATACCTTTTCGTAGAACCAAAGGAAATCTCACCTCTCCTATTCCTTACCCGCCATCAGGACTCCCCAGGTGCTGGTCTAATAGATGCGTCTCCACTTTGGAATGTAGTAGTATACAAACAGTCCGCATTATCCAGAGAATTCCAATACTACAGAGTTTATTGACATTCACAGCAAATCCAGTGTAACAGTGGATAAAGGTGTATAACACAGCAAATACCAGCACCACAACCCCCCAACCAGCTACAACCCCATTAAATACCTTTTCATAGATATCTTTACATCAGACCAAAAAGGTGGATTACTGAAGAGGAAAGAAGGACAGAAAGGAGTTGGTTCCAAAATAGGGACAGTTGGGATGTGTTGGTGACAGGCCCTAGAGACTATGTAACCATACTATACCAAACACATAGCCTGTAGCAGGTTACGCTCCTTTTATACAGTAACTATGTTGAACTGTTTCAGGCTACAGCATAGCTTATCAGCATGAGGCCAAGCAATTGGGAGAATAGCAACTATTGAACTACAGTTCAACTCTTATCTCTCATTCCCAAAGTCTAAAATGATGATCTCACAGATTAAGGTGCAAAATATAAATATTTTATAGGTATGGCTGTACAGTTATGATCACTTAAAGCATAACCTGACTTAGCAATTTAATAGTCTGCAAAGCAGTTACTTTCAAGGCATGCCATGTATTTCAGCTGTCAACCAAACTTTAAAGCCCTCAATTGGTTGGTATCATAGCTGATCACATATGCAGCACCATGTCAACTGCAATCCAAATAGAGGCTACGATGGCACCTTCCTTGGTTGTAAAGGATTGGAGGTTGTAGTTCCCTTTTAAGAATGAATATTAGTATTTTTATACAAGCCAAGTTGTGAATGGTTCAAATATCTTTGCCAGCTATTAATTTAAAATTCAAGCCAAACCAAGACAATGCCAAGATATGTCCATGTGTTCTATGAGGTGAAGTGAAAGGAATGCAAACTTCACTGTCTTAGGAGGGCAGTACCTCT